TTTTTTTTTTTTTTTTTTTTTTTTTGTTTTTTGTTTTTTGTTTTTTACCCACAGGTACAGATGACGACTGACAGAACCCTTTCTACGATTTCAATGTTTGGTAATTACTGTGAAAAATCACGAACATGATCAGTGTTCTTTTAACTGACTGACATTAATTATTAATAAAAACATGTCATAATAACTTTAATAGGTAATTTGAGTCATATTTGTGTATCTTGAACTGGCATCCCTTTGCATTAATTGGTACCCAAGAAGGAGTTGTCGTCTTCAAAAAGTTTGGTGACCTCTGCTCTATGCAATGTTAATGGCTCAACGAACATGCCATTTTCTTAGTTTCCTGAGAAGTGATGGATTTGGAAATATAATGTTTCATGCGTCCTATACAATCACCAGCACTGACTTTATGTTGTCATGCCTCAATTTACGTTGTAAAACAGGTACTCAATTTATTAGATTGTGAGTGCTTGGAAACGGCACAACTTCATATATCATTTGTATCTGCACATAAGGGAATACAAATATATTTTGACGCAGGCTATATATGATTTGTTCATACATTTCATGTTTTGTATCGCAAAGAGGTAAAAAGCCGAATTAAATCTGAAGGACAACACGTCAAAACAATAGCGGAGGACGAGTTTTATGTTGATTGAATCCTCACGCAGTGGGTGGAGTTCAGTCCCGAGAGCCATTTCATGTTTTCCTTCAGCCATTCTCTGCTGGGGTGATTATTCTGATTTACTCTGTCCCAGTTTGTTCCCCGGAGAGACTACTCGTGCACACATGCCACTATCGCAAACAAATACAACAAAAAACAGACACCAGTTCCCAAGGTGGTCAGATATGGAAGGAGTGGTCCTCACTCTCAGCTTACTTTGAGCAGCACGGATGGAGCGCTGCAGTGTGCTGGATGGAGAACCTGAGGAGTGACAGCGTAGTGCGACACTGACTGGAAACTTCGGCGGCCTGCATTGCCATGGAGTTTGGAAAAGTTTGGTCCAGACATCAGAGGACACTGCTGATCACCATGATGATGTTCAAACTGGGTAAGGCTGTCACGTGTACTTTTTTTTTTTGAATTGTTCATTTCCATCCAAGCGCGAAAACAAACAATGTATTCTCGGTTGCTTCGTAAATAATACTTGGTACATTTTACTCAAAGATACGTTACACTATCAGAAATCCAAATGTGTTCAAGCCTCACTGTTGTCATTGATGCACTTGCGTACAGCCCACTACAGCATCACACTACACTGTCGTTAAAACATTTCATTTGTAACGGCAAAAGATTCGTGTCTGAACAAAATGGTAACGGCCGCATGCGCGCCGAAATCCGTGACTAATAAAAGTTCTAATTAGCAATATTTTCCCCTGGACTACCCCAACCGGTGTGTGCGGGGGTTGGCGGTGGGACTTTGCCGGGCGACCCCTCCACCTTTGAATACCACGCTGACCCATTTTCCCCGTGACCCTCATTTGTGTGCAGCGTCTGAAGCTCATTTAAACGGTGGCGAATCGAAGGCAGGGAGCTGGGTGGCATTGTTCAAGATCACCATGGTAACGAGCTGAGCGTTCGGCTGCACTGCTGCACTTTTTTTTTTTCGGGCTCAGCGTTAAAAAGGGGACGGGGGCGGGGGAGGTGGTGATGGGAATTAAGGCGCATGGCAAGTGACCTGGCACCCCCAGCTACGAAGAAATTAAAGAAGAATAAACTCTCGAAATGTCTTCGATTATGTTAACAAATAGCGTGAAAACAACCAACACAACAGGAAAAAAATTACAGGACATACATGATAAAAAAGAAAAAAAAACCTGCATGATTACGTTCCTTGACGAAAGATGCTATAAAACACAAACCTCCCTCTCTTCTTTGGACCTCTTATGGCTGTCAT